GTTTCGTGTTGTTTTTTCTGTGTTCTTCAGGGATATTGAGTTTTCCCTGGCTGTAGATTGTAGATGAAATGGGGTTCCCAATTTGCATTAAAATGGCTAACCCATGTTCATCTTGAAATGCTCAAGATCCTGTCAGATCTGATTACTGACAAGAAAACTACGTAATATGGTGTAGAACACGCGGTAATACCAGCCCCGACAACCGGCGTTGCAGTCTCAAGGCCGTACGGCGTCGGCCTTGCGATTGTTACACTAAGCGATGGCCGATGAGCAAACGAAAAAGATGACGCATCTTAAGGGAGATGGCTGGTAAACTAGGTAGATCGGCATGCATATTTAATGTAGTGCAAAAGTAAGCCAAATGCAACCTTAATCTGAAAAGCGTGGGGGGGGGGGGCAGTTAACATTGCTGGCCCATCCACCATGAAAAGTAGCGGGGCCATGGCTCCCCTGGCCCCCTGTTCCTACGCCCATGCTCACCCGTGACTAACCGATCCAACGGCGTACGGCCACGGCGCAGCCCTCTGTATGACCAGCTGTCTACTGAAGGCCCCACCTGCCGTGAAACCACCATACGACGCGTCATCTGCGCGCCACACTGCCGTCGCAAGCCTATGACCATGCCACGTCCGCCGTCCCCTCCCCAGATGCACCTGCCGCGCGCGGCCCGCCTGCTGGGCGTGCTGCTAGTGACGTCATGTGTCCTGGCTGCGCCCACCGACGAGAACATCGACCTGGACGAGCTGCTCAGCTCGGTCGATTCCTCCCATCTGCCCGTGCAGGTACGGTCAGGTGATGACAGGTCCGTCTGCCTGTGCAGGTATGGTCAGGTGATGACAGGTCCGTCTGCCTGTGCAGGTATGGTCAGGTGATGACAGGTCCCGTCTGCCTGTGCAGAACGGTCAGGTGATGACAGGTCCGTCTGCCTGTGCAGGTATGGTCAGGCGATGACAGATCCGCCTGTCTGTGCAGGTATGGTCAAGTGATGACAGATCCGCTGTCTGTGCAGGAATCTGTCCAGGTGATGACAGGTCCGTCTGCTGTGCAGGTATGGTCAGGTGATGACAGTCCGTCTGCCTGTGCTAGGTACGTTCAGGTGATGACAGTTCCGTCTGCCTATGCACGTAGATGAGCTCCAGTTTAGGTTCAGCTTCGTGGCTTGCCGCCACTCCGTCAGCTGTGTCAGAATCTTGCGCTTCCCATTCAGTTTAGGCTCGGCTTCGTGAGCTTTGCGCCACTTCCTTCAGCTGTGTTCAGGATCTGAGTTCCCAATCTAGTTGCGCTGTAACCTAGACAGTCCAGTGCACGCCGTCCGTATCTCACGCAGCTCAGCTACAGCGTCAGCGGGCTTGTAAGCGGGACGCAGTTGTTCAGGGTTCGCAGCTGAGCAGGCAGAGCGTGGTAGGCATGTTTTACAGAGGCGGATCCAAGAGTTCGTTTGGGGAGGGCACTACGCTTCATTGTGGTGGCCCCTGGAGCTTGTTGCCCCCCCCCCCCCCTTTCCTGACAATGAAGTCGCCGGATATTTCGGCTATTTTTATGTTCAGATTCGTATATCTTAAACGGTTAGATATCTTCCAACGGGAGGGTTCACCTGGCTTTGTCCACTTTATTTCTACAGGTCAATTTTTAACTTTTATGTGGAACTTGAATAGCTGGAGCCGTCTGTGTGTGACCATGAAAATCAGTGCGTCTTAAAATATAGGTTATGTTGACCTGAAATGAGCATTTTGGTGCGCCCTTACCACAATATTTGTGTGCAGCTTCCGTCCGAGGCAGGCATGGCTCCATGCCCCCTTCCCTTCTGTATCAGTCACTGTGTGCTTATAGCTTAGCGGGATGGAGGCTTGGAAAACTACGAAATGCTCTGAAGCGCCGCCTTGTGCTTTAAGAAAACTCTGAAAAGGAAGCCGCATACTGTTGGCTGCAGTCGGATTCATTGGCACTTACACGATGCTCTGAGCCATGTGGTGCTGTTTATTCTTCCGGGTGGAAGAGATTTCGACAGCGTACTGTCGAGCATGTTATTGGTCTATAGGAAAGTAACAGGTGGAATGAGAAACATCTGCATGATGACAACATGCTACGCGTGGCTTTCTCCTCGTTACCATGCAATGACGCCTCATCTTGCCCGTCCTGCAGTCTGCAGCTCGCAAAGCAGGCTCCATAAGTCTCGGGAAAACGGCGGGAAGAGGCCAGCGTTAGTATCGTGCGGCATGAACACTGACACACGAACACTGCCCAACGCTGACTCACGCTGCCCACTCGTATGCGCTTGGCGTTCGTATCTGCCACGTACCGGTGCCGTGCGTGACCGTCCCGGCGGCTACACGGCGTGATGGCGTTTTCAAACAGCGCTCCGTTTGCCGCGGAGCGTTATCGCGAGGAGATCGCCGCCAGACAATACCGTAGCATTGCCGGCGGCGCTGTCCATGACCCCGCGACCGGATGTCAGCGGCTGCACGTACGGGTGGCGGCTCCCGCGTCACACACGCAACTCACTCATCATCCGGGCGCTCGCGTTCAAATGCGGCGTGAGTGGACTGAGCAGTGCTGATCCTGAGCACCGCTCCGACGTTCCACTGTCTTCACAGACGCGATGCCGTTTTATGTATATAAGTGGTAAGCTGTCAGCGATTAACAAACACAGAACTCCGTAAGGTGGCTCAACGCAACGAATGTCAGTTATGGTGTCACAACGCCTCGTTTGGCTGGGTCTGGATCGGAGCTCTTTTCTACATTATTGACCATTTTCGGAGCATGAAATGCAGGAGAATGGATGTGGTGGGCAAGACTATTTCACCTGGGGGTACTTCGACGACAATTAGACCGCGCCAAGACATTTCTTCTTTGTTTTTGTGCGGGCACTCAGACAGGGGAGTCTTCAGCCCACTCATGCCTGGCGCACGCAGTTTGCCCGGATATACAGACGCTGCGGGGATGCAGCTGAAGCGTGAGTGAGGGGAAGAGCCGGTGGCATTATTCGTGCCACCGATTCGCAGTCCACGTCTCTTCGCTGCGCAAAGTCGGGACCAGGTGCAGACTGGTTGTGGCGTGCCGACCATGTCCATTTGGGACCCCGATGCTCCGCCCTCACCCGGAGCGGGGCGTCGCCCAGCAAAAACGGCCGATGGTCCCCGGTTCACGGGAAGGGCGGACACTACCGGAAAAATGTACCGGAAACTCCCCTGGGGAGGGTGCGACGCATCACCAGGTTGTCGCGTGCGGCGTGTCGGTGACGTCACAATCGATCCGGTGACGGCATCGACCCCGAAATAACGCCACGCACACCCGCGGACTTAGCTGTTTACGAGAGCGGTGCATAGGCACCACTACCTTCAGACTATTGGAAGTTTGCATGCCCCTATTGAATTATTTCCAAGTAACTACGTGTGCTGTGGCATTTTCTGCGACGTTCGCGTTTGCTTTTTGTCAAACACTTACCTAATGAAACAGTACCATCGGAATAGAATGAGAAATGACGAGGCCGCAGCTCTTTGCCTTTCGCGCTGAATTTACGCAACATCAATTTACGTATATGTAATCTTCGAGTCGGATATTCAGGCGAACTCACGAAGTAGTTACTCATCCCGGCTGGTTGTCCATCGACGTCCCTGTTCCTGAATGATGAGCACTACCATCTCGCTCGGGCGAGTCAGGCAGGCGTCGCTCGGGGCCCGTGCGCGTCCTTTACAATTCCTTTTGTTTTTCTGCGGCCCGCTTTCGAAGCGTTACTAGGCCGTCGTTATGCGTCGGTCGATGCTGTTTGTGCGTTTGATCGCCTTGATTCGGGCCAAAATGCGCTCGGGCTGCGGACTCGAAGGCGCCGCTACCGTCCGCTGACGCTGTGTGCGACACGCACTTGCTTCCATGTTGTCTATCGCAGAATAATGATGACAAATGTTGCAAGCTTTATGGTCGCGGGTACACACGTGCGCAATCCGTAGCGGCGAAATCTCGATTCAAGCGCCATGTTGCTGGCCGGGCTGATGAAGAGCGTTATGTATTGTACGTCAGGAATGGTGGTTCGCACTTCTCAGCCTCATGCTGGGGCATGGGGACACGAAGCTGACAGAGCTGGCTCGTGGTCAATATGAAAATATTCATGTCACTATCAAAGGCTCATACCAGGCCCTGTACGGGCTAAGCCAATGGGTGCTTGCATGCCACACGCCAATCAGAAGACACTGTAGAAAAAGAACTCACAAAAAACGAAGGACAAAACAAAAGGTTAATCAGAAGGCTTCAGCAGATGGAGAAGCTCGGAGAAGCATGGATATTGGTGGCGTCTCTCATCGTAAAGCAAATTTAGACCTCACTGAAGCCGCGGCGTCTCGTGTTTCTCCGTAATCGAGAGCTTCTGTTACAGTAAGCTGTTCGACACTGACTTGCAACCATGCTTGCATAAACAGCACCTCATTTTGTCGAATTTGTACAGGAGCTGATTCCGGACCGGATTCATCGCGAGACCTCCGGATCGCGACCTTCACCTCGTTGTTACCCAATAATCGGTATAAATGAAAGCCGTTCGTTATCTGGTGATCCATTCCAGTCAAAACCGGGCACGGCATTATAACATGATTGGCTCCGGTGCCCCGGGTGCGCGCTTCCATGACGCTAATCGGCTGCCGCCATGACAATCTCCGTCCGTCCCTGGCAACCCATCTAGGTCAGTCCACCATCAACTATGCATGGAATGAAGGCTATGGCGGCGGGCGATCGTCGAAGGTCGATAACGACGGGCCGAGAGCGATGCACCGCGCCCGGTGGCGCGGTCAGAGCTGGAGGTCACGTTATGGTCACGGGAGGTCACGCGCCATTATCGGCCCACTTCCTCCGGTCGTGGCGCGCTGTCCCTCGAGCACGGCGACGCCATCGTGCCGTTAGCGTGCTGCGGTCTGTCACCGCCTGTTCCCGCCGCCCCTCCCCCCTTCCTCCCCCATTTCCGCCGTCTGTGCTCGCCGCTGTCCGGGCCGATGAATACTGCATTTCTGGTTCGGCTACGACCCGCCGACAGCAGCAAACTGCTCAGACCGCAGACGGGAGGGTGACTCAGCGTTGGGCGCTAGAGGGGTACTGAGTTGGTACGCAGGGGAAGCCGTGTTTCGCCTGCGCCTGTAGACCCTGGTGGTCCGGAAGGGGGGGGGAGGCGTCTCGCTTGCCGCCTGCAGACCCTGGTAGTCCGGAAGCGGGAGGCTGCGTTTCGCCTGCCGCCTGCAGACCCTGGTGGTCCGGAAGGGGGGAGGCTGCGTTTCGCCTGCTGCCTGCAGACCCTGGTGGTCCGGAA